TATTTCACATTTCAGTGTTTTTTGGTTTGATTATATTATTGAATTACATTTATTATATTATTTTTTTATAATGATTTATTATACTATTATTTATTTTGTGTTTCAAACTTTATCCTCCCCGGGATGTTTACTAGATTCTTGTTTGGACAGATTTAAGTGAGTGATTCCTAAGAATTACAGGCCTACAATATAAAACAACAAATTTCCATGCACAACAATGTACCGCTTTGATATTCAAAAATTGACATTATAATCAGACCTCCAGGGAGGTTAAAGGGCTCATGTACACTGCAGCTGATAAACTCACGTTCAGGAGCTGTTCAGCGTTTTTTTTTTTCTGCAGCCCCTGAACTCTCCCTAATGTTTTCCTATGTGTCCGTGTACACATCTTCGTTTACAGTAGTTTACAGGCATTTGAGTTTACAGTCGTTTTTTTGAACGCACCAAACTTGCGTTCAGCAGTCGATTGCAAACGCAAAAGGCTTGTAAATGCGGCAAATCACGTTTATAAGCATTTGCATCTGAAATTTTTTTTTTAATGCTTCCAGTTCTCGATGCTGTCCTGAGCCTTTTTTCATCATGAAAAATGCATGTAAAGCATTTTCAAGGTACTCAGATTTACAAAACACTGAACACAGGACGTTCCTTCCCCAAGCTTGTCACACATTGTAATGACCAATTCACACCTCAGACCTCTCCCACCCTTGGAAACAAAAGATATGTTAATGACCATTCACACCTCAGACCTCTCCCACCCTTGGAAACAAGATATGTTAATGACCATTCACACCTCAAATTCCTCATGAAGACCCCCTGCCAGGTGACCTTAATGACTCCACCAGACACCTTTCCCACCCTTGGAAAGAAAAGAAATGTCAATGAGCAACTCCCACCTAAGCTAATCTCAACACATACTGCTGTCTCTGCTTCTACTCTCTGTATTTCTCTGAAACAGTCAGAAATAGTTAATAATTTACCACTTTTCAGTGTATTCTGGGCATTTGGGAGGTTCTCCTGTGCTTATCTTTAAAATACGCTTCTAAATGCAACCGCACATAAATGCGCGTAAACGTGGCTAAACAGACGTTTTTTAACCTAAATTTTCCAGCAGTCAGTTTCCATCGTTCAGAAGTGCCCCGTGTACATGGAGCAAAAGGGTTAAAGTGAGTTAAGAGCTTGCACAACCGTTTTTACTCATTCTCTTTGTAATAAATTGTCCATTCACCTAGGCTGTGGCTGGCTTCCGTGTTCTGTCACCCCTGTAAATGATGAGTGACTGTGGTGTAGTGTAGGCAGACCTGTCAGACTGGTGCGGCCGGTGAAGGAGGATTACAGTAAACTGCGGCTGGTTTTGTTCCGGGAGTCGGGACGCTCAGCCCATTCATATTCTAGTCCTCAGCAATGCGCTGAATTTTTTTTTTTTAAACCTTTTGTGTAACATTGAATGACGTAAAGGCTTTATTCTGGATCTTCGAGTAGAATTGCTTAAAGGATAGGTTCACCTTTTGACTAAAAATAGTAAATGCATATTTTTTTTTTTTTTTTTTTGCAGGTAAAAAAAAATGTGCATTGATTATTTTTGGTTACAGGAGCTTGTAAAGCAGTGCTTTTCAACCTGGGGGGGTCGAACGACCCTTTCACAGGGGTCACCTAAGATCATTGGAAAACACATTTCCAATGTGTAAGAGCAGCTACAGTGTGGAAGAGCAGCTACAGTGTGGAGAGCAGCTACAGTGTGGAGAGCAGCTACAGTGTGGAGAGCAGCTACAGTGTGGAGAGCAGCTACAGTGTGGAGAGCAGCTACAGTGTGGAGAGCAGCTACAGTGTGGAGAGCAGCTACAGTGTGGAGAGCAGCTACAGTGTGGAGAGCAGCTACAGTGTGGAGAGCAGCTACTGTGTGGAGAGCAGCTACTGTGTGGAGAGCAGCTACTGTGTGGAGAGCAGCTACAGAGCAGCTACTGTGTGGAGAGCAGCTACTGTGTGGAGAGCAGCTACTGTGTAGAGAGCAGCTACAGTGTTGAAAGCAGCAGTATTGGAGGTTAAAACGACACTTCATGAATTATAATTACTGGGTAAATAATGTTTGGTTGGGGGTCACCACAACATGAGGAACTGTATTAAAGGGTCGCGGCATTAGGAAGGGTGAGAACCACTGCTGTAAAGCATCACAAAAGGACAGGCAAGCAGACAGGATGAATCCAATGAACTACCAGGGTGCTCCACAATGCCATGGTAGTTCATTGAGAACTACAAACGCTAAGGCTGCTGGGACTTGTAGTCCATTCACAGAACACTGAATGAATGATGCGGTCATGTGGGCGGAGCTTTCACTTGGATAAGGTCACCTTTGGGGAAAATGTCACTCGTTTTTAGGGTGCAACATGTAACGTTTCCAATGTTGCCCCCCCCCCCCCTTTTTCCAATGGGAAAAAGTTCCCCGTACTAGCTGTCACTTTTTAAAAACAGAGCGGCCGTGCGGAGCTCCGCCCACACTGCTGCATCATTTATTTCAGGTATTATACAGGATTTATATATTATTATTATTATTATACAGGATTTATGGCGCCAACAGTTTGCTCAGCGCTTTACAATATAAAGGGAGACAATACAGCAACAATACAGTTCAATACAAGAGGGATAGGAGGGCCCTGATCCTGGGAGCTTACAATCTAGGAGGTACTTGTATAGCGCCGTCAATTTGCACAGCACTTTACATATATGTGTTGAACTGGATGGACTTTTGCCTTTTTTTCAGCCAGACTAACTATGTAACTATATATTGTACATTCACATCAGCCCCTAACTCTCAAGGGGCGTACAATCTAAGGTCCCCCAACCCTCAAGGGGCGTACAATCTAAGGTCCCCCAACCCTCAAGGGGCGTACAATCTAAGGTCCCCCAACCCTCAAGGGGCGTACAATCTAAGGTCCCTAACTCACATTCATATATACACATACTAGGGACAATTTAGACAGGAGCCAATTAACCTACCGACATGTCTTTGGAGTGTGGGAGGAAACCGGAGTACCCGGAGGAAACCCACGTAGGCACAGGGAGAACATGCAAACTCCAGGCAGGTGGTGGTGTGGATGGGATTCGAACCAATGACCGGAGTACTGCCAGGCGGAAGTGCTAACCACTTAGCCACTGTGCTGCCGTATCATTACACAATATTGATACATCTTGATAATTTGGAGGAATAGTGAGTCCTAATATAGTAGTTTTTACGTCAAGTGATTTTATGTGATAAAGGGTAACAAAAACATTGTGTAAATTTATTTTATGTTCAAGTCTTTTCCGTACGTTGCCTTAGAAAGCCATGTGAAAAATTGGAATTTTTGGGTCTATAGTTATCAGGGGTTGGACTCCATTATGGAAACACCAGGTAAAAAAGAATGAAATCGTTACCTAATATGGTGTTCAACCGCCTTAGGCATCCAAGATGAATTGACAAATAGAAGTCTTGGATGGTGGATAATGGAATCTGATATCACTCTTCATGCAAAAAGTGTTCCAGCACTCTGAGATGCCGGAGGCGTAAAACGAGCCTGGACCTTGTTCTCTAAAATTGACCATAGTGGCTCCATGATTAGGAGGTTCGGCGACTACGTCGGTTAGGGAAGGTATGATACTTTGCTCACCAGACCATAATTTGATGACTCCAGAGGTCAATCCAGTGACAATCGGAGAATTATCGTCCTGGTAAATGGCTCTTCAGGAAGCAATGTCTGCACCATGTGGTGCCCATGGTTGGCCAACATTTGTACATAGTCCCGGCAGTGACTCTACCTTTCAAGGTGATGATGGGGCCTGCAGAATACCAAGATACAGTGAAGGAAATGCGTATTTGTTCCCCTGCTGATTTTGAATGTCCACTCATTTGGTCTAAAAATCGAATGTTCGGTGTATTGTAACACTGAGAGATAGAATAGCAACAAAAAATTCAGCAGAAATGCGTCTAACAAATGATGACTGATCTGCATGTTCATGAGGGAAATAAGTATTTGATCCCCTTCCCAACACATGACTTAGTACTTGGTGGCAAATCCCTTGTTGGCTATCACAGAGGTCAGACGTTTCCTGGAGTTGGCCCCCAGGTTTGCACACATCTCAGGAGGGATTTTGGCCCACTCCTCTTGGCAGATCCTCTCCAAGTCATTAAGGTTTGGTGGCTGACGTTTGGCAACTCGAACCTTCAGCTCCTTCCACAGATTTTCAGTCGGATTAAGGTCTGGAGACTGGCTAGGCCACTCCAGGACCTTAATGTGCTTCTTCTTGAGCCGCTCCTTTGTTGCCTTGGCCGTGTGTTTTGGGTGATTGTCATGCTGGAACACCCATTCATGACCCATTTTCAATTCCCTGGCTGAGGGAAGAAGGTTCTCACCCAAGATTTGATGGTACATTGCCCCGTCCATCGTCCCTTTGAGGTGGTGCAGTTGTCCTGTCCCCTTAGCAGAAAAGCATTCACTGTAACGGCTGACCAAGCCATGAATGCGACGTCACCACGCTTTACCGTTGGCACAAGACGGTCCTGATCATAAGCTTGGGATGGTGTTGTCCACATGTAGACCTGTCCGGTGGTTGGGGACAGTGTGAAGCTCGATTCATCGCACCATATTGCAGTCTTCCATCAATCGATCGTCCACGGTTTCTGGGTGTTGCACCACTCTCTTCTTCTGAGCATTAATATCGCTCACTAGTGGTTTGGCATCTGCAGCTCGCCTGCGATTGTTCTGCTTATGGAGTTCCCTCCCCATCGTTTTTGTGGACACGGTCTTTGGAAGACTGAGATTGAGCTCTGCAGTCACTTTTGCAACAGTTGTTTTCTTACCGGGTCACAATCCTGCGCAATGTCCTTTTAGTCTCTTTCAGTCAGTGGACCGCGTTGACCGCGCTTATGTTTATCTGATGATGTTTTCCTCGGAAACTGTATAAGCCACCATAACCTTTTGAATACTGGACCTCGCGACACACCAAATAAATGGGTGACTTCACCCTAGGTTCACATCTGTGCGGGTGGTGCCGCTGCGGATCTGCACGAAAATCCGTGCATCCGCACAGAGGCCTGCGGACCCGCGGGCGGGGGTCATTAGTTCTAATGGCAAGCCGCCCGCACTGGAAAATGCAACCGCACTGGGAACCTCGGCTGCGTTTTCCAAAGAAGTGCAGGGACTTCTCTGCATGTGACAGGGCACGGGAGTGCATTCAAATGAATGGGCTCTTGTCCCCGTGCAAAACACGGCCCGCACGGCCGCATGATGTGAACCGGGGGTCATTCACAGAGGCACCAGCTAAGCTGCACCAACAATTTTCTCTCTTTGAAGCTCAGTAAGCTCTGACAGGACTCCGTATTACTAGCAACGCATGCAGTGAATGAGGAAAGTGAGGCTCCCCGTTTGTTAGCTAGGTGTCTCATCACACAGCGGAAGCAAAAGAATGTTGCATCATTTCCGCTTTCAACGTGAAACATGTCACTGTGACACCTGCATATAATGTAGTGTTTCCATTATTTTTTCCAACCCCAATTATACTATGATTTTTTTTTTTGTTTACAATCTATGGGATTAGAGTTTTTGTGTGTGGTTTTTTTTTTTTTTTTTTTTTTTTCCTTTTAGTTTGTGTGGGAGTGCCTCTTGATAATTTCCATCGTGCTCAAATTTCCCTTTAGATAGTAGCAGGTCAACCTGTATGGCCATATGTATGTTTCGATGTGGTTTAATAAACACAACAGTAAATCTTTACCATTTTTTTTTTTTGCTTACAATCTATGGGATTAGAGTTTTAATGTGTGCTTCTTTTTTTTTTTTTGTTTGTTTGGGAGTGCCTCTTGATAATTTCCATCTCGATGCGCAAAGTTCCCTTTTAGATAGTAGCAGGTCAACCTGTATGGCAATATGTGGGCAGTACAGTGGCTAAATGGTTAGCACTTCCGCCTGGCAGTACTGGGATCGTTGGTTCGAATCCCAACCACGGCACCACCTGCCTGGAGTTTGTATGTTCTCTCTGTGCCTGCGTGGGTTTCCTCTGGGTTCTCCAGTTTCCTCCCACACTCCAAAGACATGCTGGTAGGTGAATTGGCTCCTGTTCAAGTTGGCCCTAGTATGTGTATGTATGATTGTAAATAAGGGACCTTATATTGTACACCCCTTGAGGGTTAGGGACTGATGTGAATGTACAATATATATGTAAAGAGCTGCGTAAAATTGACAGCGCTATATAAGTACCTGAAATAAATAAAATAAATGTTTCGATGTGATTTATTAAACACAACACTAAATCTTTACCATTTTTTTTTTTTTTTTTTTGCTTACAATCTATGGGATTAGAGTTTTAATGTGTGCTCTTCTTCTTTTCTTTTTTTTTTGTTTGTTTTTGGGAGTGCCTCTTGATAATTTCCATCACGATGCTCAAAGTTCCCTTTTAGATAGTAGCAGGTCAACCTGTATGGCCATATGTGGGCAGCACAGCGGCTAAATGGTTAGCACTTCCACCTGGCAGTACTTGGGTCGTTGGTTCAAATCCCAACCATGGCACCACCTGCCTGGAGTTTGTATGTTCTCCCTGTGCCTGCGTGGGTTTCCTTTGGGTACTTCAGTTTCCTCCCACACTCCAAAGACATGCTGGAAGGTTAATTGGCTCCTGTCTAAATTGTCCCTAGTATGTGTATGTATGAATGGGAGTTAGGGACCTTAGATTGTACGCCCCTTGAGGGTTAGGGACCTTAGATTGTACGCCCCTTGAGGGTTAGGGACCTTAGATTGTACGCCCCTTGAGGGTTAGGGACCTTAGATTGTACACCCCTTGAGGGTTAGGGACCTTAGATTGTACACCCCTTGAGGGTTAGGGACTGATGTGAATGTACAAATATATATAGTAAAGCGCTGCGTAAAATTGATGGCGCGTATATAAAGTACCTGAAATAAATATCTGTTTCGATGTGATTTAATAAACACAACACTAAATCTTTACCATTTTTTTTTTCCATTGCAGTGGTGCTGATCGGTGATTCTGGAGTTGGAAAAAGTAACCTCCTTTCTCGCTTTACCCGTAATGAGTTCAATCTAGAGAGTAAAAGCACCATCGGTGTGGAATTTGCTACAAGGAGCATCCAAGTGGACGGTAAAACAATCAAAGCTCAGATCTGGGACACGGCCGGACAGGAGAGATACCGCGCAATCACCTCTGCGTGAGTCACGATGATGTGGGACTGACAGGGTGGGGGCAATACGGGGTATAATTCTGCGCATTTAGCAACTTTTTTCCTTTTTTATTTGCTGTGTTCATGCCAGATTCTGCACAGTTCTGCCTGTTTCATAAGCAAAGCACCCATTAGATTCACTCCTTAGGAGCTGACTCGGCGTCTCCTCTCCTTCCAGGTACTACCGAGGAGCTGTAGGTGCTCTGCTGGTGTATGATATCGCCAAGCATCTTACCTATGAAAATGTGGAAAGGTGGCTGAAAGAGTTGAGGGACCACGCGGACAACAACATCGTCATCATGCTGGTGGGCAACAAAAGCGACTTGCGCCACCTGAGAGCAGTGCCGACCGATGAGGCCCGAGCATTTGCAGGTTATTTCACATTTTTATACATTATTCTGAAATGTACTATACGGTTTAACCCCTCGCCTACCGGGCACTTCTACCCCCTTCCTGCCCAGGCCAATTTCTAGCTTTCAGCGCTGTCGCACTTTGAATGACAATTGCGCGGTCATGCAACACTGTACCCATATGAAATTTTTAGCATTTTTTTGTGACAGATAGAGCTTTATTTTGGAGGTATTTAATCACCTCAGGGTTTTTTATTTTTTCTTAAACCAAAAACCACTGAAAATTTTGAAAAAAACAATGTTTTTTTTTAGTTTTTTGTTATAAAACTTTGTAAATAAGTGATTTTTCTCCTTCACTGATGTGCGCTAATGAGGCTGCACTGATGTGCGCTAATGAGGCTGCACTGATGTGCGCTAATGAGGCTGCACTGATGTGCGCTAATGAGGCTGCACTGATGTGCGCTAATGAGGCTGCACTGATGTGCGCTAATGAGGCTGCACTGGGGCACTGATGAGGAGGCACTGGTAGGCGGCACTGATGGGCACTGACAGGCAGCACTGACATAGGTGACATTGAAAGGCAGCTCAGATGGGCACTGATATGTGGCATTGATGTGCACTGATGGGCACTGGCACAAGGCACTGATGAGCACTGACACAAGGCACTGATGGACACTGACAGGTGGCACTGCTGGGGCTTCACTGATCATCAGGGCACACTGATCATCAGTGCCCTGATGATCAGTGTACATGTCCCCTCCGCGGAAAGCCGATTACCGGCTCTCCTCTCCTGTGACAGCTCGTGAAGAGAGAAATGCAGATAACCGGCATTTCCCTGTTTACATGTGATCAGCTGTGATTGGACACAGCTGATCACATGACTGAGCCGACATCATCGGCTCTTTCTGTGATCGGTGATCCGCTGTGTCCAAGGGAGACACAGCGCACCGCCGATCGCCGCGCTGCACGCTCCCGAAGCCGCGCATGCGCAGTGAGAATGGGAGGGCATCATATGACGTCCTCCCAGAAAGAGAGAACCACCTTGCACCCGTCATATTACTATATGGCAGGCGGTAGGCGGTTAAATTAACCTCTTCGCGCCGGCCGCACGCATATGGGCGGCCTCCCGGCGTCTGGGCCTTGACGCCGAGCGGCCGCACATTTACGTGCAGTTAAGAAAAACATATGTGCTGAGAACGCTTCCTGCACACATGTCCAGGCTGGGGAAAGATCCTGGCTTTAAAGTCGGGATCCACCCCAGAGCCTAGAGCGGCACCTGGCTCAGCCTCTCAGCGAGCCGCTCCCTCGCCTTCCACAGCCCAGCACTCCAGTGAGCGCTGGGGGGGGGGGGGGGGGTCAGAGTAGACAGCGGCAACTGACAGTCCCACTCTGTGTTCAGAGCAGCTGAGAAACTCAGCGATTGGCTGTCATGTGGTCACTGAGATCTCACACTTATAGCTGGCGGGGGACAGATGCAGCGTCGGCAGAGAGATGGAAAACATTTTTTATCTTTATGCAAGGGATGCATCGGGTTAAAATCGTTTTTAAGGTTTAGTATCACTTTAAATTGGCTGCAACATGGATCCTTGCTTGTGACATTTTAAGAAGCGAATAACAGCCATGGAGCTTACACAATGCAAGTTGGCAGTTCCCATTTTTGTCCTCTGAGGTTTCCTTTAATGGATTGCTGTAACTTTAAAGCACGGGTTGCCAAACCTTTTTTGCCCCATAAAAGGTATCAGTGGGAGGAATAGTGCCCCATCATTGGTTATAAGTGGGAGGAGTAGTGCCCCATTATTGGTGTCATTGGGAGGAATAGTGCCCCATCATTGGTGTCAGTGGGAGGAATAGTGCCCCATCATTGGTATAAGTGGGAGGAGTAGTGCCCCATTATTGGTGTCATTGGGAGGAATAGTGCCCCATCATTGGTGTCATTGGGAGGAATAGTGCCCCATCATTGGTATCAGTGGGAGGAATAGTGTCCCATCATTGGTGTCAGTGGGAGGAATAGTGCCCCATCATTGGTATCGGTGGGAGGAATAGTGCCCCATCATTGGTATCAGTGGGAGGAATAGTGCCCCATCATTGGTGTCAGTGGGAGGAATAGTGCCCCATCATTGGTGTCAGTGGGAGGAATAGTGCCTAATCATTGGTAAGTGGGAGGAATAGTGCCCCATCATTGGTGTCAGTGGGAGGAATAGTGCCCCATCATTGGTGTCAGTGGGAGGAATAGTGCCCCATCATTGGTGTCAGTGGGAGGAATAGTGCCCCATCATTGGTGTCAGTGGGAGGAATAGTGCCCCATCATTGGTATCAGTGGGGTGAATAGTGCCCCATCATTGGTATCAGGGGAGGAATAGTGCCCCATCATTGGTGTCAGTGGGAGGAATAGTGCCCCGTCATTGGTGTCAGTGGGAGGAATAGTGCCCCATCATTGGTATCAGTGGGAGGAATAGTGCCCCATCATTGGTATCAGTGGAGGAATAGTGACCCCATCATTGGTGTCAGTGGGAGGAATACTGCCCCGTCATTGGTGTCAGTGGAAGGAATAGTGCCCCATCATTGGTGTCAGTGGAAGGAATAGTGCCCCGTCATTGGTGTCAGTGGGAGGAATAGTGCCCCATCATTGGTGTCAGTGGGAGGAATAGTGCCCCATCATTGGTGTCAGTGGAAGGAATAGTGTCCCATCATTGGTGTCAGTGAAAGGAATAGTGCCCCATCATTGGTGTCAGTGAAAGGAATAGTGTCCCATCATTGGTGTCAGTGGGAGGAATAGTGTCCCCATCATTGGTGTCAGTGAAAGGAATAGTGCCCCATCATTGGTGTCAGTGAAAGGAATAGTGCCCCGTCATTGGTGTCAGTGGAGGAATAGTGCCCCGTCATTGGTGTCAGTGGGAGGAATAGTGCCCCATCATTGGTGTCAGTGGAAGGAATAGTGCCCCATCATTGGTGTCAGTGGAAGGAATAGTGCCCCATGGTCCGTTAGTGTGGGGAATAGCGTTTCAGAACTGTGGGAGGAATTCTGGAGGGCTGGATAAAGGCATGCAAAGGGCCACATCTGGCCTGTGGACCACAGTTTGGAGAGCTTTGTACTATAAATTTACCTTTTGTAACATGTTAAACCCGTATTTATGGTGTATCATTTTACTTTGGAACAGTCCCCCGCACTCACCTGATTGTGGGTAATGGGGGCGCCTTCTCCCTGCACCTGCTGTCATGTTTTAACCACTTGCCAACCGTGCTATAGCTGAATTATGGCTACAGCGCGGTTGTCCAGGTCTGGGAGGGCGTCATTATTATACAGGATTTATAGCGCCAACAGTTTGCTCAGCACTTTACAATATAAAGGGAGACAATACAGCAACAATACAGGAGGGCCCTGATCCTGGGAGCTTACAATCTAAGAGGGAGGGGCTGGTGGTACAAAAGGTAATAACTGTGGGGGATGGACTGGTAGGAGGAGTAGAAGATTCCATTATTAGCTGAGGGCAGGATAGGCTTCCCTGAAGAGAGAGGTTTTCAGAGATCGCCTGAAAGTGAGCAGAGTAGGCGATAGTCTGATAAATTGGGGTAGAGAGTTCCAGAGGATGGGGGAAGTCATATGATGTCCTCCCAAAACGCGCCCTCCCATGCAAACACAGCGGCCTTTTACCACGGGATCAGCTGTGTCCAAAGACTTTCATTTCCAGCAGTTGTACTTGCCTTTCCAGCAGTGCGTCCCAGCAGTGACACCCATCATTGCTGCCCAGCAGTGCCGTCAGTGCAGCCAGTCAGCGTTGCCCATCAGCGCTGCATATTAGCAGCATCATCAGTGCCTCCTCATCAATGCCCATCAGTGCTTCCTATCCATGCCACTTCATCATTGCCCATCAGTACTGCCTATCAGTGCTTCCTATCCATACCACCTCATCATTGCCCATCAGTGCTTCTAATCCATGCCACTTCATCATTGCCCATCAGTACTGCCTATCCATACCACCTCATCAATGCCCATCAGTGCTTCCTATCCGTGCCACTTCATCATTGCCCATCAGTACTGCCTATCAGTGCTTCCTATCCATGCCACCTCATCATTACCCATCAGTGCTTCCTATCCATGCCACCTCATCATTACCCATCAGTGCCGCCTCATCAGTGTTTCCTATCCATACCACCTCATCATTGCCCATGAGTGCAGCCTAATCAGTGCTTCCTATTTGTGCCACTTCATCATTGCCCATCAGTACTGCCTACCAGTGCGTGCTATCCATGCCACCTCCACTATCATTGCCCATCAGTACTGCCTATCAGTGCTTCCTATCCATGCCACCTCATCATTGCCCATCAGTACTGCCTATCAGTGCTTCCTATCATGTGCATTGCCCATATGCCATGTGCCCTATCCATCATTTCATCATTGCCCATCAGTGCTGCCTCATCAGTGCTTCCTATCCGTGCCATTTCATCATTGCCTCATCAGTGCTGCCTCATCATCCATGCCATTCCTATTGCCGTGCCGCCTAATCAGTGCTTCCTATCCATGCCACCTCGTCATTGCCCATCAGTGCCTAATCAGTGCTTCCTATCCATGCCACCTCGTCATTGCCCATCAGTGCCGCCTAATCAGTGCTTCCTATCCATGCCACCTCGTCATTGCCCATCAGTGCCGCCTAATCAGTGCTTCCTATCCATGCCACCTCGTCATTGCCCATCAGTACTGCCTATCAGTGCTGCAAAATTTTATAACAGAAATAAAGAAAATCATATTTTCTTTCCAATTTTTTTGCTATTTTTTTTTTTCTATAGTGCAAAAAAATAAAACCCCCAGCGGCGATTAAATACCACCAAAAGAATGCTCTATTTGTGTGAGCAAAATGATAAACATTTCATATGGGTACAGTGTTGCACGACCGCACAGTTGGTCATTCAAAGTACGACAGCACTGAAAGCTGAAAATTGGCCTGGGCCCCGTGGGGGTAAAAGTGCCCAGTAGGTAACTGGTTAAAAACAGAACTGTGTGGGGCTCCGCCCAGACAGCCACGTCATTTATACACAGAGATCGACGAATGAATGAACTACAAGTCCCGTCTGCCACTGTGGCAGTCTCCTTGTTCTAAATGAACTACAAGAGGGCTGGTGAATGCTCTCCTAGTTCACTGACTCTTCCTGCACTTCAGTAACAGTGCTAGTCTGGCGTTGTACCTGCGATCCAATCCCCTCCGGTGCAATGCTTTCCAGGCTGCGGTGTTAATAATTATATGCACGCTTTTTTTTTTACCTGCTAAATTATGTGCATTTATTATTTTTTTTAAAAGGTGAACTTATTCTTTAACCACCTCCAGCCCGCCATATAAGGAAATGATGGGCGGTTCTCTCGTTCTGGGAGGACCTCATATGACATCCTCCCATTCTAACCGCGCATGCGCGGCGAGCGGCGGTGCACTGTGTCCCTCAGACACAGCGGATCACCGATCAACAGAGCCGCAGATTTCGGCTCGGTCATGTGATCAGCTGTGTCCAATCACAGCTGATCACATGTAAACAGGGAAATGCCGGTTATCGGCATTTCTCTCCTCACGAGCTGTCACGGTGATAGAGGAGAGCCGGTAATTGGCATCCCTCGGAGGGGACATCTACACTGATCATCAGGGCATTGATGATCAGTGTAGCCCCAGCAGTGCCACCTGCCAGTGTCCATCAGGAAGACAGGATCAAACAGCATTTTTACACAATGCAGAGGATTAACCCCTAAGGTTCCACAATGAGAATAACAAGCATGCTTTACTGCAGACAAATGTTACTGTTGTGGGTTCAGTAACACTTTAAGGTATGCCAGGTTAAGACGGAGCCAAATTTCGTATATTCGGGCACACTTTAGGGCTCATAGGGTGTTGTACAACTAAATGATGAGCGGGCACTTATTGGCTGCCTGCTATAAAAGTCCCGCTTTAATCACACTTTAAATTGGACATCTTCACATGTAAATAGCCGTATATTTCCACACACGCAACTCCTGTGTGAATGGATTGTTCAGAGCTTTTCTTTCACAATTCAGGATGTGATTTGCAGATTCTTTGCTCGCTCTTCGCTTGTGAAAATCGCTCACACCATGCCCAGAAGAACTCTACCACACTGCCTCTAGTGGCAGAACTTGTCTTTGCATGCTGTGTTCGTGTTCTAGGAAAGCTGCTAAAAGTCGATGACATCATCTCACTACCATGCTTCCGAATGACCTTACCTCCTCCTTTTTTTTTTGTCAGGCTATGCTTTTTATTTATTTCAGGTACTTATATAGTGCCGTCAATTTACGCATCGCTTTATTATTATTATACAGAATTTGTATTATTATTATTATTATACAGGATTTATATTATTATTATTCAGGATTTATATTATTATTATACAGGATTTATATTAATCAGGATTTTTATATTATACAGGATTTATATTATTATTATTATTATACAGGATTTATATTATTATTATTATTCAGGATTTATATTATTATTATTATTATTCAGGATTTATATATTATTATTATTCAGGATTTATATTATTATTATTATTATTCAGGATTTATATATTATTATTATTCAGGATTTATATATTATTATTATTCAGGATTTATATTATTATTATTATACAGGATTTATATTATTATTATTATACAGGATTTATATATTATTATTATACAGGATTTATATTATTATTATTATACAGGATTTATATATTATTATACAGGATTTATATATTATTATTATTATACAGGATTTATATATTATTATTATTATACAGGATTTATATATTATTATTATTATACAGGATTTATATATTATTATTATTATACAGGATTTATATATATTATTATTATACAGGATTTATATATTATTATTATACAGGATTTATGGCGCCAACAGTTTGCTCAGCGCTTTACAATATAAAGTGAGACAGTACAGCAACAATACAGTTCTATACCAGAGGGATAGGAGGGCCCTGATCCTGGGAGCTTACAATCTAGGTTTACATATATATTGTACATTCACATCAGTCCCTAACCCTCAAGGGGTACAATCTAAGGTCCCTAACTCACAGTCATACATACACATACTAGAGACAATTTGGACAGGATTCCATTAACCTACCAGCATGTCTTTGGAGTGTGGGAGGAAACTGGAGTACCCGGAGGAAACCCACGCAGGCACAGGGAGAACATGCAAACTCCAGGCAGGTGGTGCCATGGTTGGGATTGAAATGGACGACCCTAGTACTGCCAGGCGGAAGTGCTAACCATTTAGCCACTGTGCTTGATTAGGTTCTTAAATTTCAGGCATGGTGGCTTTTTCTATAAGTAGATGGTATGTTGTAACAAACAAACGTCTTTTATATCTAAAATATACTTTATAATAAACAGATTAGCCAGTTTTCTCAAAGTTTTAGGAAGTTTTATAATGACATTGTGAGGTTTTTCAAAATGAGGAACTGTCTGATAGTTAATGGTTGAGTTTAGGACACTTCCTCTTACTAAAAGCCTTTGAATTTTACCGTTTATGTAAAAACTAAACCCACACCCGCCATCTCATCTATGTTACAATCGTAACCACTTCCCGTCCGGCCCCTGTATATAAACGGCCAGACGGTGGCAGTGCAGGGGCGGGTTGCCATTCATAAACGGCGCCCTCCATTTTGGATTGTGCGCGCTCCCTGGGAGCGCTCGGCACCGCGATCGCTGTACGGGACCTCTGTGTGAGGTCCCGATCATGTGATCACTGATTGGCCAATCAGTAATCACATGAATAGGTGTAAGCAAGATGTCACTTCCTGACATTGCTTACTACGTGTGAAATCTGTGAATGATCACAGAGGTCACATGGTACAGGGCTATTCACAACAGCCTTGTACCATGTTTCAAGCTGTGACCAATCACAGCTCACACAGTATTTCTCAATGGCTGCAAGAATGCAGCCAGAGAGAAGGAGAAAATGTTTGCTTTTACAGCCTTTATGGGTGTAAAAGCACTCGGTGTAAAAAAAAAAAAAAAAAAAAAAAAAAATCTTCATCACCCTCCACAAGTAGTATGTGAAAAAAATATTAATATAAAAAAAAATAAATGGAAATTTTTTTTGAAAAATTATGATTTTTGGTTATAAACTAATTTGGGTTATTTATTTATTTTACTAAAAAGACAACTGAATAAATTTTGGTCGAGATTTATGATGAAATATTATTTATTTGCAAAATTTTATCAGAAAAACTTTTTTTCTAAATTTTTGGATTTTTTTTCATTTACATAGCAAAAAAAATAAAATTCCCAGCGGTGAATAAATACCACCAAAATAAAGTTTTATCTGTCTCAAAAAAAAGGGTACAATGTTGCATGACCGCGCAATTGTCATTCCAAGTGTGATAGCGCTGAAAGCTGAAAATTGGCCTGGACTGGAAGGGGGGGAAAGTGTCCGGACTGGAAGGGGGGGAAAGTGTCCGGACTGGAAGGGGGGAAAGTGTCCGGACTGGAAGGGGGGGAAAGTGTCCGGACTGGAAGGGGGGGAAAGTGTCCGGACTGGAAGAGGGGGGGGAAAAGTGTCCGGACTGGAAGAGGGGGAAAAGTGTCCGGACTGGAAGGGGGGGAAAAAGTGTCCGGACTGGAAGGGGGGGAAAAGTGTCCGGACTGGAAGGGGGGGAAAAGTGTCCGGACTGGAAGGGGGGGAAAAGTGTCCGGACTGGAAGGGGGGGAAAGTGTCCGGACTGGAAGGGGGGGAAAGTGTCCGGACTGGAAGGGGGGGGAAAGTGTCCGGACTGGAAGGGGGGGAAAGTGTCCGGACTGGAAGGGGGGGAAAGTGTCCGGACTGGAAGGGGGGGAAAGTGTCCGGACTGGAAGGGGGGGGGGTCCGTGGGAAAGTGTCCGGACTGGAAGGGGGGGAAAGTGTCCGGACTGGAAGTGGTTAAGTAGCCTCTTCTATAAAAAAATGGGATTTCTATCCTGGTTTCTGTTCACCCTGTAGGCCCTGCAGACTCATAATTGTATCAGAAATCTGAGCAAAACATCCCCCCCCCCCCCTCAAAAAAAAAAAAAAAAAAAAAAAAATATACTGCACCTAATCTAGAGGACAGACTCAGAACATCAACATTCATAACCACCATTGCCCCCTTCACACAGGAATCCCCTATTGGTATTCCAGAATGTAGCCGGTGAATTACAAAGTTATAAAGATGTACAATGTTTCTATTTTATCATTATAAATGACCCAATACAATGTAACAAAAAAAAAAAAAACAATCCATAACCGAGCAAGCATCTCTAATATAGCCAGATTTCCAATAATTCCATCCAAAAACAGGTGAAAAGTAATCTGATATACAGACAGATCCCGAGTTACAAACATCCAACCTACATATGACTCAAAGAGGAACTTGAGTGGAACCCCTGCAGCAGTCACAGATGTTGGTGATGACATTTAGGGAACAGGCTGTATTTTTCATGTCATTCCTAATAGCACACTGCTCACCTGTGCTGTGTGGGCGGCCATTTTAGGTAAGGGCAGGTGAAGCCAGTGGCTGTTTCTTCCGGGATAGGTATAACATGTATGGCACCTGCAGATCTTATCCTACAATGACAGAAGTAGCGATCTCCTATGCTGCCAAAGACCTGACTGTTGGAGCTCTGTCATGCAGGCAGCAAATATGCTTTTTACCCGACTGGTGCAATCCACCCCCAACAAACATGCGGGGTGACCTGTCAGTGGTGCGTTGCCTTAGAACCCAACTCCTTTCTTCCAGGAAACTGCACCTCGGTTTTGCATAGAAGTGGAAAGTCTAAAGGCCACATATTTATTTATTTTAGTTATTTCAGGTACTTATATAGCGCTGTCAATTTACGCAGCACCAGGGGCGGACTGACCATTTGGAAACTCGGCACTGCCCGAGGGCCCGGGGTCAGTAGGGGGCCCCATGAGATGCCCCTGGTACCTTTTTTCGTAGACTTTTTAGAGTTTGGGCAAGGACACAGGGACCCCATGATCCCCTATTGCCCGGGAGCCCCATGATCCCCTATTGCCCGGGAGCCCCATGATCCCCTATTGCCCGGGAGCCCCATGATCCCCTATTGCCCGGGAGCCCCATGAGTTGTCAGTCCACCCCTGCGCAGCACTATATATAGATAGATAGAGAGAGAGAGAGAGAATAGAGAGAGAGATAGAGATAGATAAGAGATATAGATAGATATATAGATATCGCATTCCCATCAGCACACTACATGCGTTTCAGTTGCTTTTTTTTTTTCTGCATCCAAAACGCACAAAGTAGGTGATATGGCGGTCAGTGTCATAGTTCACATCAGTGCTTGCCGTTCCGGGTGCAAAAAAAAAAAAAAGAGTAGAATAGGCTGAATTTTTCCTGCTCAGAACTGTACTGGAATGCGGTAAAACGCATCAAAACCGCACCGGAACACATTTGTCTTTATTTAAATTAAGAGAAAGGAACAGGGCAAAAACGCACTAGAATGCGCATGCTGAAACGCATCCAGAATGCATCTGGACTGCGGTTTCTATAGTGTGAACCAGCCCTAAGGGCCCATGTACACGGGGCATTTGGGAAAACTCTTCTGAACGCTGGAAACTGACTGCTGGAAAACGTAGGTTAAAAAACGTCAGTTTAGCCGCCTTTGCATACCGCGTTTATATGCATTTGTGTTTAGAAGCGTTTTTAAAAGATAACCTCAGTAGACCTTCCAAATGTCCAGAATGCACTGAAAAGCAGTAAATAACTATTTCAGACATTTTGAGAGAAATAGAGAGAGCAGAAGCAGAGAGAGCAGTATGTGTGGAGATGACCGGTCTTTTCTGGTTGTATTCACTATGGATCCCATCATGAGTATAATGCGGCGCGTTCTACCATTTTTTTCCTTCACGCGATACCTGAAATTGACTGCGCTGGTGTACCGGGTCCATTTGAATACATGGAAAACACTTTGCATGCATTTCTGATGATGAAAAAAAAGGCTCTGGACAGCATCTGGATATGGAACAGTTAAAAATCGCTTCTAACCGCAAACGCGGTGAGCCGCGTTTACAAGCGTTTGGCGTTTGAAACGGCGGTAAAATCTACTCCTGTACGCAAGTTTGGAACTGACTGCGCTGGTGCACCGGGTCCATTTGAATACATGGAAAACGCTTTGTATGCATTTCTGATGATGAAAAAAGGCTCTGGACAGCATCTGGATATGGAACAGTTAAAAAAAAAACGCTTCTAAACGCAAACGCGGTGAGCCGCGTTTACAAGCGTTTGGCTTTTGAAACGGCGGTAAAATTACTCCTGAACGCAAGTTTGGTGCGTTCAAAAAAAACAACTGTAAACCCAACTGCCTGTAAAGGACGATGTGTACACGGACACATAGGAACACATTGGGGAGAGTTCAGGGGCTGCTGAAAAAAACGCAGAAAAGCTCCTAAACGTGAGTTTATCACCTGCAGTGTACATGGAGCCCTAAAGCTTCCTACTCATTTTATGACTTTTATTTCCATATTTTATGAACGGTCAAGTCCAAGAAGAATTGTCTGTTTGTATGGCCTATACCAGCCAATCCGTTTGTTTTGTTCTCCAAGTACATTATGAGAGAATGACAGGAAGAACGCACTCAGCCATAGCACAGCGGCTAAATGATTAGCCTTTCCGCCTGGCAGTACTCGGGTCGTTAGTTCGAATCCCAACCACGACACCACCTGCCTGGAGTTTGCATGTGCTGTCTGTGCCTGCGTGGGTTTCCTCCCACACTCCAAAGACATGCTGGGAGGTGAATTATCTCCTGTCTAATTTGTCCCTAGTATGTGTATGTATGAATGTGAGTTAGGGACCTTAGATTGTACGCCCCTTTAGGGCGGGGCCTGATGTGAATGTACAATATTTATGTAAAGCGCGGCGTAAATTGACGGCGATATATAAGTACCTGAAATAAATAATAGCTGACAGACATGGTTTCTTCTGTAGTTCCTAACTAAGGACCGGTGTTATGAAGGCAGTAAAGAAGTGTGCTGAAGGTTAATCAATAATGATGCCATCTAATTGGTGAGCCTGGGCCGGCAGTCTGGGTAGGTGGGTGCGTCTTTTGGGGAAACCGGCGCAAGATATGTCATTGTTATGAATCTTAATGATCTATTCAGTTGTGAATTCTGAATGGTGACATTTATTACATTCCAGCAACATGTAGAAGATTTATTATAATCCCCCTGGCGGTATTCCCGAGTGTAGCTCGGGGTAAAGTTTCAGCACCACAAGCGGTAACCCCCCCGAGCTACACTCGGGAATACACTGCAGCGTTGCTCCGGGATCTCTTCTTCACTTACCTTGTCCTTCACTCCCGCGATGTCCCTCCTGCAGTGTCCCCGGCAATGTCCTCCGGCCGATGCCGGCATCTGTCTTCCGGGTTCCGTTCCCTGCGACATCGGGACGTACGGGGGACAGAACTGGCGGGAAATTTTTAAATTTTAAAAGTGACATTCACTAAATACACTAAAATCACATAGTATAACATTCCTGTATCAAACCATTTCACATACATTGTGTCCCGAGTGCTTTGTCCGGCGCCCTGCCTGCATTTTTACTGTTCTTTCTGCCTGGAAACTGAGAAACGTCCATGGCGTCCAAAAAGCGTCCCTTTAGGTCAGACGCGGTTTTAGACCGGTTAGAGAACAGCAATAGTAAATCAGAACCACTTGCAGAATTGAGTGATAATGATTCGTGGGGGAAATTCGTCATCAGACACTGAAAACGATTCTGCGACTTTGCTCAGCGATGTGCGAACTTGGCGCTATATTTCACATTTCAGTGTTTTTGGTTTGATTATATTATTGAATTACATTTATTATTATTTTTTTTTTTTGGATTATTTATTAAATTATAATTTATGATTTCGTGTTTCAAATTTTAACATACCCGGGATGTTTACTAGACTCTTGTTCGGACAGATTTCAGTGAGTTATTCCTAAAAATTACAGGCCTACAATAAAAAAAAAAAGACATATTTCCATGCAAAAAAATGTACCGCTTTGAGCACAGAAATACTGACATAATCAGACCGCTAGGGAGGTTAAGAACCCGAGCTTGTCCTGTATGTTATAAAGTAGAAATGCTGATTACCGTCAGTCGGGGGTCCTATGCAGGGGGCTTGTGCTTTGTTGCTGTGAATTCCTGTTTTATCAGCACTATTAATGTATTCTCTATGTTCTCGCTTAATCTGGCTTTCAATCTTTCTCTTGTACAGAAAAGAATGGTTTGTCCTTCATCGAGACTTCAGCCCTGGACTCTACAAATGTGGAGGCTGCTTTCCAGACCATCCTGACAGGTAAAGACATAAGAGCACTGCTTCCATTCAGCTGGACACTTGTCAGCTATGCTCTGGGTGCTCGTATTTGGCATGGCACCACGGAGGGCAATATAGTTGCATTAAACAAAAGGGCAGCACAGTGGCTAAATGGTTAGCACTTACACCTGGCAGTACTTACACCTAGCACCACCTGCCTGGAGTTTGCATGTTCTCCCTGTGCCTGCTCCGGGTACTCCGGTTTCCTCCTACATGCCAAAGATATGCTGGTAGGTTAATTGCTCCTGTCTAAATTGGCCCTAGTATGTGTATGTATGAATGTAAGTTAGGGACCTTAGATTGTACTCCCCTTGAGTGTTGGGGGCCTTAGATTGTACACCCCTTGAGGGTTGGGGGCCTTAGATTGTACTCCCCTTGAGTGTTGGGGGCCTTAGATTGTACGCCCCTTGAGGGTTGGGGGCCTTAAATTGTACGCCCCTTGAGGGTTGGGGCCTTAGATTGTACTCCCCTTGAGGGTTGGGGCACTTAAATTGTACGCCCCTTGAGGGTTGGGGGCCTTAAATTGTACGCCCCTTGAGGGTTGGGGGCCTTAGATTGTACGTCCCTTGAGGGTGGTTGGGGGCCTTCGATTGTACGTCCCTTGAGGGTTGGGGACCTTAGATTGTACTCCCCTCTAGGGTTGGGGACCTTAGATTGTACTCCCCTCAGGGTTGGGGACCTTAGATTGTACTCCCCTTGAGTGTTGGGGGCCTTAGATTGTACCCCCCTTGAGGGTTGGGGGCCTTAGATTGTACGCCCCTTGAGGGTTGGGGGCCTTAGATTGTACGCCCCTTGAGGGTTGGGGCACTTAAATTGTACTCCCCTTGAGGGTTGGGGGCCTTAAATTGTACGCCCCTTGAGGGTTGGGGGGCCTTAGATTGTACCCCCCCCTTAGATTGTACGTTGAGGGTTGGGGGCCTTCGATTGTACGCCCCTTGAGGGTTGGGGACCTTAGATTGTACTCCCCTTAGGGTTGGGGGCCTTAGATTGTACGCCCCTTGAGGGTTGGGGGCCTTAGATTGTACGCCCCTTGAGGGTTGGGGGCCTTAGATTGTACGCCCCTTGAGGGTTGGGGGCCTTAGATTGTACGCCCCTTGAGGGTTGGGGGCCTTAGATTGTACCCCCCTTGAGGGTTGGGGGCCTTAGATTGTACCCCCCTTGAGGGTTGGGGGCCTTAGATTGTACCCCCCTTGAGGGTTAGGGACTGATGTGAATGTACAATATATATGTAAAGTGCTGCGTACATTGATGGCGCTATAGAAGTACCTGAAATAAATAAGAAATCCAACAGCAGTCTCCACTTTTAGGCCCCCTTAGGCACCAGTTACATCTGTACAAAAATGTGCAGGGCACTAGCGGTACCATTAATGACTCCCCAAATGCCGGCAGCAGATGCATGTTTTCGCATGCGAAAAACACACGCAGCTTAAAGTAGGCAACTTTTTTCATTTTAGAGTAAGGGAGGGTTATAACCCCGATCAGATTTTTTTTTTTTTTTTTTTTTCACCATTCGCGTTCCTTTGCGGAGGAAATCCCTGCAAATTAAAGGAATTGGGGACCCCCAGGTCACAAGATTTAGTGTCCCCTTTTGCAAGATTCCCCCTCTATTACTTTTCAGGGATATCCCAAAATTTTGAGGATTTTCTTTTACTTTCAGTGATCATAATAAACAGGACAAATAGAAAGGGGGAACCTCCCTAGCGGGGGCACAGACAGTAGTAATTGCTTTAAATTGATTTTAGGTTTAAAAAAAAAAAAAAAAAAAAAAAAGATACATTTATAATAGTGCCAAATGCCTGTTATTTCAAAGAATATAAAAAAGATTTATGATTATTATAATACAGGATTTATATTATTATTATTATTCAGGATTTATATTATTATTATTATTCAGGATTATATATTATTATTATTATTCAGGATTTATATTATTATACAGGATTTATATTATTATACATGATTTATATTATTATTATTATTCAGGATTTTTATTATTATTATTATTATTATATTCAGGATTTATATTATTCAGGATTTATATTATTATTCAGGATTTATAAATCCTGAATAATAATAATAATATAAATCCTGTATAATAATATAAATCCTGTATAATAATATAAATCCTGAATAATAATAATAATATAAATCCTGAATAATAATAATAATATAAATCCTGAATATAATAATAATATAAATCCTGAATAATAATAATATAAATCATGTATAATAATATAAATCCTGAATAATATAAATCCTGAATAATAATAATAATAATATAAATCCTGAATAATAATAATATTAAATCCTGTATAATAATATAAATCCTGAATAATAATAATAATATAAATCCTGTATAATAATAATAAATCCTGAATAATAATAATATAAATCCTGTATAATAATATAATATAAATCATGTATAATAATATATATTATTCAGGATTTATAATTATATATACATGATTTATATTATTATATTATTATTCAGGATTTATATAATAATATAAATCCTGTATAATAATAATATTATAAAGGATTTATATTATTATATAATTTAATATTATTATTATTATTCCTGTATAATAAAATCCTGTATAATAATAATAATCCTGTATATTAATATAAATAATATAATAATAATATTATTATTATACAGGATTTATATTATTATACAGGATTTATATTAATATATAATACAGGATTTATATTATACAGGATTTATATTATTATTATACAGGATTTATATTATTATATACAGGATTTATATTATTATTATTATAATACAGGATTTATATTATACAGGATTTATTATATTATTATAATACAGGATTTATATATTATTATTATTATTATACAGGATTTATATATTATTATTATTATTATTATACAGGATTTATATATTATTATTATTATTATTATACAGGATTTATATATTATTATTATTATTATACAGGATTTATATATTATTATTATTATTATACAGGATTTAATATATTATTATTATTATACAGGATTTATTATATTATTCTTATTTATACAGGATTTATTATATTATTATTATACAGGATTTATATATATTATTATTATTATTATTACAGGATTTAATATATTATTATTATTATACAGGATTTAATATATTATATTATTATACAGGATTTATATATTATTATTCTTATTATACAGGATTTATATATATTATTATTATACAGGATTTATATATTATTATTATACAGGATTTATAATATTATTATACAGGATTTATATATTATTATTATACAGGATTTATATAGCGCCAACAGTTTGCTCAGCACTTTACAATATAACAGCAACAATACAGTTCAATACAAGAGGGTTAGGAGGGCCTTGATCGTGGGAGCTTACAATCTAGGAAAAGATTTGACCAAGCCTGACATTTGTAGTGTCACCAACTATTTGGAAAGGTCTTTTACTGTTGTGTACACTTCCCTTTTCCTGTTCTTAGATCTTGCGCTGTGTTGTATGTACTTTGGTGAGGAATACGGCATCGCTTTCAGGACACAAATATTCTGAAGGTCATACGATAGGGAGAGCCGTACACACAGTGCTGACTTCACACACATGCCAGCAGTGATCCTTGGATAGATGTCCTTATTACATCTTAAAGGGCTTGCACATATCGAGCTGTGTTGAAGTAGGCCGCTGTTTTGTTTTGGGTTTTTTTAAAATATATTTTTAATATTTTTTTACTATTAAAAAAAGTCACAAACTTTTATAAACGTTTAAAGAGGGAATCTTCGGGATTTTGCTCTCTGATGTGCAAATGGCCATTTTGTCTTTCTGAAGGATCTTGGCAGGAGTGAAGTTCGGTAGAAATAAGAAGTGCAGCACTAGTCAGTTCATAAAATATAAATAATAAAATATAAATAATGAATATAAAGCTCATATACGAGTTCGTATAATATGTGTAGATATACGCTCCCTTCCGTAGCAGATTTCAAAAAGACTTGTGACTGGAAACAATAGTAAAATTGCGCACTCACCGGAAGCGCAGGTAATGCGCATGTAAATATAACCACCAAGGATCACTTAGGCAGGCGGAGTGTATCAGGTGTCTGGTGAGCTTCCTTCTAAGGATTGGTCAGCAAAGCAGTAAGTCTTGGGATTTAAGGTAGAAATCTGCTAGGTCCAGAGGTCCCCTTTAGGATGGATGGGTGCTCAGCCTGGATACAGGGCTCCCTTCCTCTGGATACTCGGTTATATGAGGGTTGTCTGTGGGCTTAATAGCAGGAGGTTGACATCACGCCTAGCACAGATACCCCGATAGGTGCTCACCCTGATAGGTGCTCACTCCTGATAGGTGCTCACTCCTGATAGGTGCTCACTCCTGATAGGTGCTCATAGATAGTGCTCACTCCTGATAGGTGCCTCCTGATAGGTGCTCACTCCTGATAGGTGCTCACTCTCCTGATAGGTGCTCACTCCTGATAGGTGCTCACTCCTGATAGGTGCTCACTCCTGATAGGTGCTCACTCCTGATAGGTGCTCACTCCTGATAGGTGCTCACTCCTGATAGGTTTCCTGATAGGTTTTCATGCGAGTGAAGTTCAAGCACAGCTGGACAAGTAAAGTTCTGTTCACACTCGTGCGACTTGTCATGCGACTTTGGACACACAGCGGTTGATTTACTGAGATTGGAGAGTAAAAAATATGCTGTGTGTGGTAGCCAATCAGCTTCTAACTTCAGCTTGTTATTACCTTAGGTTCACATATATGCGGCCGTGCGGGCTGCGTTTTGCGCGGGCACGAGAGCCCATTCATTTGAATGGACTCCCATGCCCCGTGACACGCAGGGAAGAAGTCCTTGCACTTCCAAAAATGCAGCCCGCAGGGGAAACTCGGTTACCAGTATGGCTGCGATTACCAGTGTGGGCGGCGTGCCATTAGAAGTAATGGCACCCGCCCTCGGGTCCGCATTCTTCTGTGTGGACGGTGCGGATTTTCGTGCAGATCCACAGCCACACCACCAGCACATATGTGAACCTAGGGTTAGACCTGGAAAATTAAAAGTCCTACTTTTACTTGAACACCCCTCCTTTGTATAATTGCCCTTGTGGTGTCATTCTGAAAACGCAGCCCGCAGAGGAACCTCAGTTCCCAGTATGGCTGCGTTTTCCAGTGCTGGCGGCGTGCCATTAGAACTGACACCCACACGCGGGTTCGCATTCCTCTGTGCGGGTAGTGCACGGATTTTCGTGTGGATCCGCAGTCGCACCACCAGCACAGATGTGAACCTAGCCTTAGTCCTCACGCACACGGGACGTTTTTTACAACGGCTGTTATTGGCTTTTGAAGTTTTTTTTTTTTCTACAGCCAGTAAACCCCCCAACATGTTATCCTATGTGTCCATCCCCGGCATGTTATCCTATGTGTCCATCCCCGCATGTTATCCTATGTGTCCATCCCCGGCATGTTCTCCTATGTGTCCATCCCCGGCATGTTCTCCTATGTGTCCATCCCCGGCATGTTATCCTATGTGTCCATCCCCGGCATGTTATCCTATGTGTCCATCCCCGGCATGTTATCCTATGTGTCCATCCCCGGCATGTTATCCCATGTGTCCATCCCCGGCATGTTATCCCATGTGTCCATCCCCGGCATGTTATCCCATGTGTCCATCCCCGGCATGTTATCCTATGTGTCCATCCCCGGCATGTTCTCCTATGTGTCCATCCCCGGCATGTTATCCTATGTGTCCATCCCCGGCATGTTATCCCATGTGTCCATCCCGGCATGTTATCCCATGTGTCCATCCCCGGCATGTTATCCTATGTGTCCATCCCCGGCATGTTATCCTGTGTGTCCATCCCCGGCATGTTCTCCTGTGTGTCCATCCCCGGCATGTTCTCCTGTGTGTCCATCCCCGGCATGTTCTCCTGTGTGTCCATCCCCGGCATGTTCTCCTGTGTGTCCATCCCCGGCATGTTCTCCTGTGTGTCCATCCCCGGCATGTTCTCCTGTGTGTCCATCCCCGGCATGTTCTCTCTGTGTGTCCATCCCCGGCATGTTCTCCTGTGTGTCCATCCCCGGCATGTTCTCCTGTGTGTCCATCCCCGGCATGTTCTCCTGTGTGTCCATCCCCGGCATGTTCTCCTGTGTGTCCATCCCCGGCATGTTCTCCTGTGTGTCCATCCCCGGCATGTTCTCCTGTGTGTCCATCCCCGGCATGTTCTCCTGTGTGTCCATCCCCGGCATGTTCTCCTGTGTGTCCATCCCCGGCATGTTCTCCCCGTGTGTGCATCCCCGGCATGTTATCCCCGTGTGTCCATCCCCGGCATGTTATCCCATGTGTCCATCCCCGGCATGTTATCCCATGTGTCCATCCCCGGCATGTTATCCCATGTGTCCATCCCCGGCATGTTATCCCATGTGTCCATGCACACATTTATTTATTTCAGGTACTTATATAGCGCCATCCATGTACACAGCGATTTACATATATATTGTACATTCACATCAGTCCCTAACCCTCAAGGGGGGTACAATCTAAGGGCCCTAACTCACATTCATACATACACTATGGACGTAGACTGTAATCAGCATTTTTTGGCTGGAAAAAAAAGCCCCCAGAACTAGTGGGTTTCTTTTAACATTGAAAATAAAACTTTATTGAAAGGAAAAAGCAGAGATTGGACATAAAATGTATACAAACGGAAAAAAAAAAGGATACAGGGAAAAGAAGCACAATCAGCATGGTACATCAAGAACACAAATAATTACCCGGGTCACAAAATTGGGTACATGTTCAGGGGGTGAGTAGAACAAAGAACAATCCATGAGCAGCAAAACAGGTCAGACAACAGGAGTGAATATCAAAGTACCAGGAGCCCATGGAAAAAATAGAAGGATGGGTTTGGGGGAGGGACGGGGAAGACTCCTCTCCCAACAACCCCGTCTCATCAAGCCAGGTAGGTATTGGGTGAAGATAGCCGTGTATCTCATATTTTGTTATATTTCGTGGGACCTCCTCTGCACATTATTATTATTATTTATACAGTATTTATAAAGCGCCAATAGTTGGCTCAGCGCTGTACATTACAAAGGGGGACAGAACATGTGACAGAACAATACCAATAGAATGCAAAACATGAGGGGATCGAGGGCCCTGCTCTTTCGAGCTTACAATCTAGGAGGGAGGGGATGGTGGCACAGGAGGAGATAGCTGTGGGGGATGGGGTGGTAGGAAGAGTGGAGGAGGTCGGTCAAGTTAGCAGGGGGTGGGGTAGGCTTCCCTGAAGAGATGGGTTTTCAGGGTGCGCCTAAAGGAGAGGAGAGTAGGTGATAATCTGATGGGTTGGGGCAGGGAGTTCCAGAGGTAGGGTGACACCCTGGAGAAGTCCTGGAGGCGGCATGGGAGGAGGAGACCAGGGAACTAGAGAGAAGAAGGTCTTGTGAGGAGCGGAGTGTGCGTGTTGGGTGGTACTTGGATATTAGGTCGGTGATGTAGTTCGGGGCAGTATGGTGGACGGCTTTGTACGTCAGTGTTAGGATTTTGAATTTGATCCGTTGAGGGATTGGCAGAGGGGGGTGGCGGAGACGGAGCGGTTGGAAAGGTGAATGAGTCTGGCAGCCGTATTCAGGATGGACTGAAGCGGGGATAGCCTGTGGCGAGGCAGGCCAGTGAGGAGGGAGTTGCAGTAGTCGAGTCGTGATATGATGAGGGAGTGGATGAGCTGTTTAGTGGTTTCTGGGGTTAGGAACGTGCGGATTTTGGCGATGTTGCGGAGGTGGAGTCGGCTGAGTTTGTTAAAGATTGGACTTGGGGCTGGAAGGATAGGTTGGAGTCCAGAATGACACCAAGTACTCTGGCCAGCGGGGCGGGTTTGATGGTAGCGTTGTTCGATGTGATAGAGAAGTCAATGGGGGGTGCGTTGTTCGATAAATATGTTTCTTGTACGGTAGAGTGGAATTGACCTCGATCAACTACGTCTGTAGGGTGGGAACAGTTGCCTGCATCCAATGGCTCGCCAGTAATTTACGGGCACTGAACAGAGTTTTGTGTAAAAGGGTAACCAGAAATTTATCCTCGGGTATATCGGGGAGAGAGCCAAAAAGGCACACCCTGGGGTCTAATTGCAAAGGTGAGCCCATACGATCATGCAGAAATGTAATGATTTGTGCCCAGTATGTCTGAACAATGGGGCAGATGGAAAAAGGTACCTGTCTCGCCAAGGCAACGGGGGCAGAGGGGACTCTGCTCGGGACAATATCTAGAGACCCAGAGTGGAGTGAGGTAGGCGCGGTGTGAGACATAGAGCTGGGTGATATAAAAAAGAAGAAAACCAAGGGAAAGAGATCCTGATGGTCAAGGGGTCCCAATGAGGACAAACTGCGGCTTAGAAAAAAACAATTTTTCTAAGCTGCAGTTTGTCCTCATTGGGACCCCTTGACCATCAGGATCTCTTTCCCTTGGTTTTCTTCTTTTTTATAGCTATGACTGGTTCTGAGGACACCACTTTGGGTAATCCATAAGTGAGTCGGTTAGAATGATATACAATTATTTGGGATTATCCTTTTTGGAACCCTGCTATTGATATTTCATCACTATTTGTGGTTTAGGGCATCCCGGTTTTTATTTTTGTTCCTTGGATAGAGCTGGTTGAGCCTGTCAGAGTCTCGGGGACACCAATTTAACATTCTCCAACACCTCATCCCAGATTTCCGACTCCAGGGGCCCCACATCCGGCTCCAGGACTAGTGGATTTCTAGAGGAGTTTTTTCTTATCTGTAAAAACGTTCTAATGCGGTAAATCGCTGCAAATTGGCATTTTTTGGACTTCTTTGACCCAAACTTGGAAACTGATTGGTTTCTGTGCAGAGCTGCACCAGATTTTGTACACTCCAGTTTTAGTAAAACCCCCCCCCCCCATGCGACTTACTGATGCAGTAACTTAAAAAAGGTTCCTGCACTACTTTTGATGTGACTTTAGTGCCATAGACTACAATGTAAATTCTCCAAAAGTCACATGCTAGTCAGATTCTAATGTCCTCAATGTGACTGTTGTGCAACAAAGCCAAAGTCACATCCACGCAAACCGTTCCCACCACTACAGACGTGGTTGATCGAGGTCAATGCCACTGTACCGAAAAAGAAAACGTATTTATGTACATAGAGGATGTCCCACAAAATATGGGATAGATGGCTATCTTCCCCCAATACCTACCTGGCTTGAGGAGACAGGGTTGATGGGAGAGGAGTCTTCCCCGTCCCTTCCCCAAACCCATCTAAAGTCCCAAACAAACAGTTGCATAATAAAGTCGTAATCGAAATCGCGTGACTTTGGAGTGACACAAGTGTGAATGGAGCTTTTAGTGGCTTTGTGTGAATTTGAAGTCTCCCCTTCCCTAGGGACTATGTGAGCCCCATCAGCAGAGAATAATTCCAAAGATTTCAGAAGACATTTCACAAACATTTCAGTCCTGTCTGTACCTACCTAGAAATGCTCACGGGGTGATTTATGTAGAAGCGGGTAAGTTGTAGAGTATAGAGCAGGGTTTCTCTGCCAGGATTCCATAGAACCCTATGGTTCCTCCAGAGGGTGAACAATGAGCAATTCCTGCCTCTCAAATTCCCACTGACACAATTGAACTATTTAGTGGTCTGTTAGGGGTTAATTCATCCCAATGACCGCAAGTGTAAGGAGCATTCTTCCCACCGGCCATCATACTAATGTATCAGGAATTGCAGATCTAGTTATTTGTAGCAGGGGTTCCCTGAGTCCGGATAGTAATTTAATTTCAAGGGTTCCTCTGTGTTGAAAAGGTTGAGAGAGGCTGGATTTTTTTTTTTTTTCCTTAGTGCATACTGCGATGTATGTGTACACTGATCAGCCATAACATTATGACCATCCACCATAGCCCATCAAGGCATGGACTCCACTAGACCTCCAAAGGTATGCTGTGCTATCTGGCACCAAGCCGTCATCCTTTAAGGTCCTGTAAGTTGTGAGGTTGGGGCCTCCATGGATCATGCTTCCAGCACATCCCACAGATGCTCAGTTGGATCGAGATCGGAAGAATTTGGAAGTCAAGGCAACTCCTCAGTCCTGCCGTCGTCCCTCAAACCATTCTTGAATTCATTAGACCAGGCCAACTTCTTCCATTGCGTGGTGGTCTAGTTCTGATGTTCATGTGCCCATTGTAGGTGCTTTTTTCTGAGGACACGGGTCACCATGGACACCCTGACCAGTTTGCAGCTACACTGCGATGCTCTGTGTGTTCTGACACCTTTCTATCGGAACCAGCATTCACTTTTTCAGCAATTTGAGCTCCAGTAGCTCTTCTATTGAATTGGACTACATGGACCAGCCTTCGCTCCCCACACACATAAATGAGTGTTGGTCCCCCATGATCCTGTTGCTAGTTCTCCAATTTTCCTTCAAACTTGTCATCGTTCCCTAGACCCCTCGTTCCCCAGACCCGTCGTTCCCCAAGGCATTCTTGGTCTAGTTCTGATGCTCATGTGCCCATTGTAGGTGCTTTTGGCTGAGGACACGGGTCACCATGGACACTCCGACCCGTTTGCAGCTACACAGCCCCCATACACAACAAACCGCGCGGTGCTCCGTGTGTTCTGACACCTTTCTATCGGAACCAGCATTCACTTTTTCAGCAATTTGAGCTCCAGTAGCTCTTTTATTGAATTGGACTACATGGACCAGCCTTCGCTCCCCACACACATAAATGAGAGTTGGTCCCCCATGACCCTGTTGCTAGTTCTCCAATTTTCCTTCAAACGTGTTGTCGTTCCCCAGACCTGGCGTCTTTCCCCAGACCCGTCGTTCCCCAAGGCATTCTTGGTCTAGTTCATAGGCTCATGTGCCCATTGTAGGTGCTTTTGGCTGAGGACACAGGTCACCATGGACACTCCGACCCGTTTGCAGCTACACAGCCCCATACACAACAAACTGCGGTGCTCCGTGTGTTCTGGCACCTTTCTATCAGAACCAGCATTCACTTTTTCAGCAATTTGAGCTCCAGTAGCTCTTCTATTGAATCGGACTATATGGACCAGCCTTCGCTCCCCACACAAATAAATGAGAGTTGGTCCCCCATGATCCTGTTGCTAGTTCTCCAGTTTTCCTTCCTTGGACCACTGTTGGTCAGTCCTGACCACTGCAGACCTGGAACATCCCACAAGAGCTGCAGTTTTGAAGTTGCTCTGACTCATTCGTCTAACCATTTGTCAAAATCGCTCAAATCCTTACACTTGGCCATTTTTTTCTGCTTTCAGCACATCAGATTCAGGGACAACATGTTCACTTGTCTATTATATCCTACCGACGTTCAGATGCCATTCTGACGAGAAAATCAATGTTGTTCACTATCAATGGTCATAATGTTATGGCTGATCGGTGTAGAAGTGTATTTACATTCAGCTACAATGTGATTATTGGATGATGAACAGTTGCATTGTTAGGACGATTGCAAGAGAAGAGTGACAGGTCCTCATTGTGTCCGAATTTTACCACAGTTCTAATTTTTTTCTTTTTTTTTTTTCTTTTTCAGAAATTTACCGCATTGTGTCTCAAAAGCAGATGTCTGACAGACGTGAAAACGACATGTCCCCAAGTAACAACGTTGTCCCCATCCATGTCCCACCCACCACTGAAAATAAACCAAAGATGCAGTGCTGTCAGAACATATAACGGCCGCTGCCTGCACAGTGCCAGGCTTCGATTTCCTGTGTCCAGCTCTGGAGGGGGGGCCAGGCCCAATACCTGAGCCCAGTTCTAGAGGTGCCAGGCTCTGTATATTCCCCACGTCCTGCACTGGACTCTTTGGAATTCTTTTTTTTTTTTCTTTTTTTTTTTTTTTGTGTTAATATATATTTTTTTTTTTTGTTTTGAGTGTATGTGTGTAAGAACTTTAATTTTACTATTCCATCTGGATTTTTACATGTCTTAAATTCTTTTGATTTTTGACTTTCTGTATTAAGGAAATGATCTAATCCTCTTTCACGCTCTTTATCTCTCTTCCTGTGCTCTGCCTTCTCCCCTCTTCTTTCTTCTTTACAAATACAATGATTCCAGGTCTGCCCTAGTCCCCCCCCCTTCCCCTTCCTGTCTCCACTCAGAGATGTCTGTATAATATATGAAATAAACGCATGTTGCCTGCTGGAGGCACCCTCTCCTGATACCTTGTGACTCAACAGATCTTCTTTTGTTTTTTTTTTTTGTTTCTTTTGGTTTTTTGGTTTTTTTTTTTCCCCCCACTCTTGACCAGTAATAGATAATGTCACTTGTATGTCACTCATTGCTAGATCCGCTGTTTTGATCTCTAGAAACTACATGAAAAAAAAACAGGTGTGATGTGTAATAAAGTGTTTATACTGTTGAACCATGCTACGTCAGGTGGATCTGTTCATATACTGTTGAACCATGCTATGTCAGGTGGATCTATTCATACAGTTGCAAGAAAAAGTATGTGAACCCCTTGGGATTACGTGGGGTTTTGCATGAATTGGGCATAAAATGTGCTCTGAACCTCATCTAAGTTACAACAATAGAAGAACACAGTCTGCTGAACATAATACTACACAAACATTAGATGTTGCCATGGTTTAATTGCACATAACATGTAAACATTCACAGTGCAGGGAGGAAAAAGTATGTGAACCTTTAGACTTAATAACTGGTTGACCCTCCTTTGGCAGCAATAACCTCAACCAAACGTTTCCTGTAGTTGCAGATCAGACCTGCACAACGATCTGGAGTCATTTTGGACCACTCCTCTTCACAAAACTGTTTCAGTGTAGCAATATTCTTGGGATGTCTGGTGTGAATCGCTCTCTTAAGGTCATGCCACAGCATTTCAATCGGGTTGAGGTCAGGACTCTGACTGGGCCACTCCAGAAGGCGTATTCTGTGCTGTTGCAGCCATTGTTTTGTTGAATTACTTGTATACTTTGGGTCATTGTCCTGTTGCATCACCCATCCTCTGCGGAGCTTCAGTTGGCGGACAGATGGTCGTACGTTTTCCTGCAAAATGTCTTGATAAACTCTGGAATTTATTTTCCCATCAATGACAACAATCCGTCCAGGCCCTGAGGCAGCAAAGCAGCCCCAAACCATGATGCTCCCTCCGCCATGTTTCACAGTGGGGATGAGGTTTTGATGTTGGTGTGCTGTGCTTTTTTCCTCCACACATAGTGTTGTGTGTTCTTCCCAAACAACTCAATCTTGGTTTCATCTGTCCACAGTATATTGTGCAAGTAGTGCTGTGGAACATGCAGGTGCTCTTTTGCAAACTTTTGTACTTCAAACGTGCTGCAATATTCTTTTTGGACAGCAATGGCTTCCTCCGTGGTGTCCTCCCATGTACTCCATTCTTGTTTAATGTTTTCCTTATTGTAGATGTGTCAACAAAAATGTTAGCATGTGCCACAGATTTCTGTAGGTCTTTAGCTGACACTCTGGGATTCTTCTTTACCTCATGCAGCATTCTGCGCTGTGCTCTTGCAGTCATTTTTACAGGACGACCACGCCTAGGGAGAGTAGCAACAGTGCTAAACTTTCTCCATTTGTAGACAGTCTGTCTTACCGTGGACACATGAACATCATGGCTTTTGCAGATACTTTTGTAACCCTTTCCAGCTTCATGCAAGTCAACAATTCTTGATCGTAGGTCTTCTGAGAGCTCTTTTCTGCGAGGCATGGTTCACATCAGACAGTGCTTCTTGAAACCAGTAAACCCAAAACTGGTGTGTGTTTTTTAAGGGCAGGACAGCTGTCAGCAACACATCCAATATCATCACACTGATTGGAGTCAAGGATGGCCCACTCCTGGCTCCAATTAGCTCTGGGAGAAGTCATTAAGCTAGGGCCTCACATACTTTTTCCCCCCTGCACTGTGAATGTTTACATGTTATGTGCAATTAAACCATGGCAACATCTAATGTTTGTGTAGTATTATGTTCAGCAGACTGTGTTCTTCTATTGTTGTGACTTGGATAACGTTCAGAACACATTTTATGCCCAATTCATGCAAAACTCCATGTAATCCCAAGGAGTTCACATACTTTTTCTTGCAACTGTGTACTGTTGAACCATGCTACGTCAGGTGGATCTGTTTATGCTCTTCTTCTATGTAGCACCATTCAGCCAGAAGATATGTAGGAAGGCTGAGAGGAGGCGTGGCGGCTTTCACATTCTAACAGGCTTAGCAACTTCTTTTTGCTGTTTTTCCTTTGCCGTTGAATTAGCTGCAGCTGACGACACATTCAGCTCCATGCATTGGTCTCCAAACTGCTGCCCGGGAGCTGGATGTGGCCCTTTGCTTGCCTATATCTGGCCCTTGAGGCATTTTCCTCCCACTGACATTAACGATGGGGTGTAATTCCTGCCGCTGAAATCAACCATAGGGCGCTATCATTCCTATTGACAGCAACAATCGGGCACTTTTCCTTCTACGGATACCAATGAGGAGACACCAACAATGGGGAACAAAAGATGGGACATTGTTCACTCCCACTGGGCACAGTCTGGCCCCCTCCTAAAGTCTGAAGGATGGTAAACTGGCCCTTTTGGAGACCCCTGCATTAAGCTATAATGAATTATTTTCAGCCATTCGACCTTACTATGGTCTTTATCTGATCTCACTGTTGAAAATAAAGCTCATCATGGCAGCAGGGTCGGCGCTAGACTAGACCAGCTACTAGCCCCCCAAAAAAAGGCTGAAGATGCTTTGGGTGCTTTCTCACCTGCCAAAGTCATCCTTTACATCGGCGTCCCCCAGAGCCTCCCTCCTTAAAGCGGAGTTCTACTCACCCTGTCAAAAAATAAAAGCAGCTAAAAAAACCTGTAGCTGCTGACTTAAAAAAAACAGCCACTTACCTGTCCCCCAGTCCCGTGGTGTGTCCCCCGCAGCCTGTTTTATCGGCAATCCTCAGTTTGGGCACCCAGCTGTGATAGCTTGCGGCTTCACAGCCGGGTGCCCACTTCGCATGCGTGAGTAATGAATGGTCCTGTAGTCTACTGGGACCTGTCACATGTCCCAAAAGACTACGGGGAGGGAGGGAGGACACCTTCCGATCGCCTAGGTGATTGGACTGGAAGTGGGAGTGGTTACCTGTCAAATTCAGGTACCCGCCCCCAAAGATGCCAATCCTTAATGGGGAGCGGGGGAGCAGTCCTTAAAGTAGAACTTCCCCTTTTGGGTGGAGCTCTGCTTTAAATTGGGGTCCCCCAGAGCCCCCTCCTTAAATTTGGGTCCACCAGAGCCCGTTCCCTGTCAGTAGGGTCCCTCAGAGCCCGTTCCCTTTCAGTAGGGTCCCCCAAGCCCGTTCCCTTTCAGTAGGGTCCCCCGAGCCCGTTCCCTTTCAGTAGGGTCCTCCGGAGCTCGTTCCCTTTCAGTAGGCTCCTCCCCGAGCCCGTTCCCTTTCAGTAGGCTCCTCCCCGAGCCCGTTCCCTTTCAGTAGGCTCCTCCCCGAGCCCGTTCCCTTTCAGTAGGCTCCCCCCGAGCCCGTTCCCTTTCAGTAGGCTCCCCCCGAGCCCGTTCCCTTTCAGTAGGCTCCTCCCCGAGCCCGTTCCCTTTCAGTAGGCTCCTCCCCGAGCCCGTTCCCTTTCAGTAGGCTCCTCCCCGAGCCCGTTCCCTTTCAGTAGGCTCCTCCCCGAGCCCGTTTCCTTTCAGTAGGGTCCCCCAGAGCCCGTTCCCTTTCAGTAGGCTCCCCCCGAGCCCGTTCCCTTTCAGTAGGCTCCCCCCGAGCCCGTTCCCTTTCAGTAGGCTCCCCCAGAGCCCGTTCCCTTTCAGTAGGCTCACTCCAGAGCCCGTTCCCTTTCAGTAGGTTCCCCAGAGCCCGTTCCCTTTCAGTAGGTTCCTCCAGAGCCCGTTCCCTTTCAGTAAGGTTCCTCCAGAGCCCGTTCCCTTTCAGTAGGTTCCTCCAGAGCCCATTCACTTTCAGTAGGTTCCTCCAGAGCCCGTTCACTTTCAGTAGGTTCCTCCAGAGCCCGTTCACTTTCAGTAGGTTCCTCCAGAGCCCGTTCACTTTCAGTAGGTTCCTCCAGAGCCCATTCACTTTCAGTAGGTTCCTCCAGAGCCCATTCACTTTCAGTAGGTTCCTCCAGAGCCCATTCACTTTCAGTAGGCTCTCCCCAGCCCGTTCCCTTTCAGTAGGGCTCCCCCTAGAGCCCGTTCCCTTTCAAAGTACATTCAGGGTCAGCTCTAATTACTGCATAGCCTGTGGCGTAGCTGTGGCAGTAGGGACAGTAGCCGTGGCTGCGCCCTGGGAAGCTGCCTAGGGGAAGCACTGGCCCTGCATGGCAGATAACACATAAGTTGTAGCTTAAGCAGGTCATAGAAGATACAATTTTCTTTTCACCACAAGTAGTAGGAAAGAAAGTTGCTCGATTCTTCTTCCCCCCCATCAACACTTACTGTATCAAAGCCTTCCTGCAAAGCTATTGTACTCTCCTGGTGGGGAGCCTTCCCTGCTGACAGAACACAATGATCACTGCTAACGGCTATAGTCAGTGGCAGTGATCGCATGCTAAAAATCCAACAGGCTGGTTGTACTGAAGTCGATTGATGGATCGACTTCAGAACAACTAGCCTGCTCATAGATGCTTTGATCCATGTATGGCCTGCTTTAATGACTAAAGCCTATTGGACTTTAGAGTTCACTTTGTACTTGTAGTATCTGTTGGCAGCC